GAGAATTAAGTGATATAATGACTGCACTGAGGAGCACCCAACACAAAAGAGGCCCCCATTCAATATATCTCACTATTTTCCCTCCTTCCTAGGTGAGGAGCTCCCTAAGACTTCTCACATGTGTTTCCTTCTTCTTTTGTAACATAAACTTTGATAGTCTTTGTGATTAAAACTCTGAGACATTAACTGATTGCATGAGGTGTCCAGAGACACCCCCTGCCAATTACAATGAAGTGCCATACTGGAGGGAATCGAGTTACAGCAACATATTTAGGGTTTTCCTTTGCTGGGAATTTACATCCTTTGAAGGTGTGGGCTGCTGCAATGGAGACCGCAGGCTGCAAGTACGGGGTAAACCATGTCTCCAGAACAAGACTGTCGTCATCCCTCCTGGACAGCTGTGGGTGCCCAATGGGGTGGATGATCACACAAGCCCGTGGTTCCCTGGAAACACATCGCTGCCTTCCACAACTGGCAAATCCACCAGCTAAGCTGATGCCAAACTGGACACTTCCGAGCAGATGCCATATTGTGACAACTGCTCTGTCTCAATATACACACGTTCTTATTTCTGGACAAATGCGAGTACATTTCAGATGATGGGCTTTTTCTTTTAAGACTGTTTTAAGTGTGTTTCATGATGATTGGTTGGAGCTTGTTTTTATTTTCCCTTTTCTTCCCAATGTGGACAGTTAAAGTATAATTTTCGAAAAGGTAAAATCATGATTCTTGTGCAAATAGAAAATGAACTCATGTCAAAGGTTTTATTAAACTGGTTAATTAATGAGGGAACCATAAAAATGTTACAACCAGGTCAAAGAGCATTTGAAGATCTAGGTATTTATAGGCAATTTAATAAGGAAATATTAGGATAGGAATGCAGGGCTAGATACAAATCTAGTTAAAGTTTGACAAAATAATAAACCGTAACCTTTCAGATTATCTTTTCCTACTGAAAAGAAATTATTTGCCAGAAACTTTAACTGGAAAAAAAAAATCTACAAAGTAGCGTGTAACTTCAGGAAGTCTTGACCTTTACTCGGTACTGTGTATAAGATTCTACGACTCTATTCCCCCTAAATGCTTCATCTCTGCTGTATTCTCCAAGCCAAGCACCCACATTCACATGAAACCTGCTCGCAACACACTGAAGGGACAGTAATTGAGTGTGCAGAATAGCCAGGCCTTGAGGTCCAACTTCTGGACGTCTCGGTGGTCATTCTTACTGAAGGGGGTGGGTGGGCAGACGGTCAAAGAGAGCTTCCTTCTGACCCTGCTCTGGACAGAAATACAAGCTCTCATCCTGATGCTCTGTGTCTGCTTACCTCCCATAGGGGCATCACATTACTTGTCCTTCTCCACCCCTTGGCTCACCAAGTAGCACCTCCTGTGTGCTGGGGCCTGGGGCTGCAGTGAAAGCAAGGAACCGCGGCCCCTGCTCTCCCGGGGCTTGTGCTCCAGCCGGTAAACCCATGCAGGATAGATGATTGCCCACTGAGTGAATTACAGTGGTCCCATTTATCCGTGGAGATACGTTCCAAGGCCCCCAGTGGACGCCTGAAACTGTAGATAGTACCGAACCCTATATATACTGTGCTTTTTTCCTATACATACATACCTGTGATAAAGTTTAATTCTAAATGAGGCACAGTAAGAGATTAACAACAATAACTTCTCTTTGGGGTATCTGAATTGCCAGCATCACTACTCTTGCGCTTTGAAAAGGGGCCATTACTAAGTAAAATAAGGGACACAAGCACTGCAGTACTGCAATGGTCATCTGATAACTGAGGCTACTAATTACTAATGGGTGGGTGGCGTCTACAGCGTGGATCCACTGGACAAAGGGATGATTCACGTCCCAGGCGGGAGGGAGCACGACGGCACGAGATTTCATCACACTACACGGTACAGCACACAATTTGAAACTTATGACTTGTTTATTTCTGGAATTTTCCATTTAGTATTTTCAGATCGCAGTTGACCGTGGGCAACTAAAACCTCAGAAAGCAAAACCACAGATAAGAGTGGATTACTGTTCATTTAAATGTCATAAGGCCTGACATGGAAAGGTGTTCAGCAAAAAAATGGGGAGAACTAATGTAGTCTGCGGGAGTCTGGGTGTCAGGGAATCCTTTTCTGAGGAAGGGACATATAAGATGAGTCTGAAAGGATGGGTGGGATTTCACTGGGTGAAAATCCACTGACTGTTTTGGGTAGGGGGTACTGCATGTGTGAAGGACTCGAGCCCCGCAACAAGGGTGACACTGCGGGGCTAGTGACAGTGATACCATGAGGCCGGAAACATGGGCAGAAACAGAATTACACGGGGCCATGAAAGTTTGGGCAGAGTTTGGGCTTCATCTCAAGGGTCCTGGGGAGCCATCGAAGGGTCATAGAGAGGGGAGCAGCATCATCGTAATTTGTGTTCCTGCCAAGTCAAGCACTAGGCACAGTGAGGTACCTAGTAGACACTCAGTAAGTGTCGGCTGAGTTTGGGAAGGAATAAAGGCTGACCCAAGGGGACACTTCATGGGATGCCTGACCCCGGGAGGCAGGTGATGTCTTAAATTAGCTCTAACTCAGCGCTCTGCTTTTCAACTCAATCTCGTGATCTCAGTCAACCTCGGACAAGTGAGACTTTATACCATCCCTCTCAATTGAGGATTTCGGGTTCACCATGGATGAGAGAGGAAATCTCTACAGGCAGCCACGGCCCTCACCATACACATGCCTGGAACTCTTCAGGACCATTTTCCTTCTTTTAAAAATGAGCGGTGGAGTGCAGCGGGGAGGTGACACCCTTTCCAAGATGCACGGAAAGTATCCACTCACAGCTCGTGAAGCTGTGGCTGGTTCTGTAGTTTTGGGGAGTCTGGGTGTTTGCAAGAACATGTTAAAAAACATTTCAAGTTTCCTTGACAAATATTCTAAAACAAAATGTACCATCCAACAAAGAGCTAATACCCAGGGTGGATCAGGGTGCGAGGAAAAGGGCAGTCTCCTTCCTGTGGGTGAAAGTGTTAATGAGTCAAACCCTGCTGGAGGGTGCTGCACAGCACAGAAGGAGGAGCCCCAACGACTTTCACCCCACCAACTTCCCACCTAGAAATTTATCCTATGGAAACAAACAAGGGGAGTGCAGATATTTATCTGCAAAGATGATCATTTCAGCCTTGGTTGTAATAGCTAACAACTGGAATTAGCTAAAATGTCCCCAAACCAGGAAGGACAGGTATGGTTCATCCATACAATGGAAAACCATGGTGGTATTTAAAAGGATACTGAAGAAAACTGTTTATTGGTGTGGAAAGATGTTCACAATCTATTTTTAAGTGAAAAAAAAAAGCAGATTATACAACTGTATGTAGCATATGATCTACATACAGTTAGATGTAGCACTGTATGTTTGGTCAAATATGCATGAGAAAAGATCTGGAAAGACACAAACCAAAGGGATAACGGTGGTGACCTGTGGTTGGTGACACTGTGGGCATTTTTGTTTTCTTATGTTGTTTATCCTTATTTTGCATTCTTTCTTTAATGAACTTCTATTGCTTTTTAGTAAGAAAATAGTTTCATGTGCAAAAACTTTTCATGATCTCCTAGGATCTCAGTTGCAGTAGATTTTATGGGGCATTTTCAATGCCTGTTTGCCTGCATGAAGGATCTAATTCTACTTCTGCTTCTCAGATACTCATGAAGCACACAGACCTGTGTGTTTAAGACGGTATTTTTCAGCAGTTTGCCATCCCATTCCATTTTTGTAACAGAAAAATATTATTATGCAAAAAAAAAAGCAACAGTTCTCAACAAATGTAACGGAAGGTTTGGCAATTTTTGCTTTATTCATAAACTATGTGTACTAGGGGCTAAGGATATAAAAAGTATAATCAAGTAAATTTAAAGAAAGAAAAAAGCAACCGGAAGGATAAATACCAAATGGTATGAATAATTACCTCTGAGTGGGGGGATTATGGGTAATTTTCATTTTCTTCTTTTTGGTTCTCTATATTTCCTAATTTTTCTGTAATAAATATGCATTGATGTAATAAGGGAAGTGATTATGTTAACCCCATAGAAACAAACTGCCTTCATTTAATTATAGCAGTAAGTTCTGATAAGAAGGGGGCTTAACCATTGCTACCATTGCAACAAGGTGAATTTTTTTGGAGGACCAGGGGGCTGCAGAAAGTGTGTGGGTCTGAGAATTAGGGAGACGGACTGTCTTTTCATCCTGGCTCTGTGACCACAGACAAGTCAATCACCCCTGTGTTTTCGTTCCGTTGTTCATGAATTTATGAACATTTACCTAGCATCTCCTATGTACCTGGGTCTGTGCTTGATGCTGGGGACAGAGCAGGAGAAGAGCCAGATATGGTCCCAGCAGTCATGGAACCTCAATCTAATACAAGAGAAAAATAATGGCAACCCGACAAAGAGCAATATAATAATTATGACAGAAACAGCCAACCTTGACTGAGCACTTCTAAATGCCAGGTGCTGTTCAATGAGCTGTATATACGTGTCAACCCATTTAATTCTCACAGTGACTCCATGAGGTAGATATTACTATTATTCCCACTTTACAGACAAGGAAACTGAGGCCCAAAGATAGTAGCTAATTTGCTCAAGGGTACACAGCCAGAAAGTCGCCGAGCTAGGTTTCAACCCTACCGTGTGCTACACTGCACTCAATATGTAACTATGAGGGTCAGAGTCACCACGAATGAAATCAGGGCCTGCGAGCATATTAGGGAGCCTGGCCCTGGTCTCAGGGTGCAGGTAAGACTTCCCTGAGGATGTGACATTTCACCTGAGACCCCAAGGAAGGGTAGGAATAAATCAGGCAAAGAACAGGAACAAGGGCCTCTGGGGTCGAGGAAACAAGAATAAATAGCAATTGTGACTATTCGCTAATGTTCCTAGGCGAGTGGTATTGGTATAGTGGTCATTGACAACGGTAATAACAATGAATTCTCTTCTCTCCCCGCCCCCAGACACTCTTGGCCAGAGCACTTTATGACAACCACCCTGACTGCTCTGATGAGCTGGGTTTCTGCAGAGGAGACATCCTGACTGTTCTGGAACAAAATGTGCCGGAAAGCGAGGGCTGGTGGAAGTGTTTGCTCCACGGGAGGCAAGGTCTGGCCCCTGCCAACCGCCTCCAAATCCTCACAGAGGCCCCCACAGACAGGCCCTGTCCCCCTTTCCTGAGAGGCCTGGAAGAAGATCTCGTCAGCAACGAAGAGACCTACCAGGTGCCCACCCTGCTCCACTCCCCACCTCCAGGCCCCGTATACGAGCAGATGAAAAGTTGGGTGGAGGGGCCCCCGCCGCCCACCATCCAAGTCTATGAATTCCCCGACCCACCAGCCAGCGCCAGAATCGTCTGTGAAAAGACTCTAAGCTTTCCCAAACAGGTAAGCATACTTCCAAATAAAAGAGATGGGTCAAAGAGTATGTAACAGCCAGGAACTTAACTACCACTCGAGTTATCGGTGTCCATCAGGAGAGCAAACGTGCAAATCGGGAACCAGACCGTTGGCGTGATTGGGTGGGCTTGTGTTTGGTCCCCACGTTAGTTGTCATTAACACTCTCAGCACCCCTGCGATTCTCCAGCTCTCCAAGACACCCACACTTTGCGGGAAACTGAATGCTTAGTAGAGCTGTGTGTGACAGCATTACAGATGTTCGTGGTGGTCTTTTTTAACACTAGGAAGAAACACTAGGACTGCTAGTAGTAAATGGGGGCTGAATTTCCACAGGTTCAAGGGCAAGAAATTACTCGTCAGATTTCGAATATATATTCCCTTCAACCTAGAAACTTTACTCCCACAATTGCTACAAAAATACACAAGACGGCAAAGATATATCTGGATGGGGAAGCCATGGCCATGATAGCACTATTTGTTACAGGGGAAAGTGGAAGATGCCTGATGGTTGTTAATGGGGGATTGGGTACATAAATTTTCTCATATCCCTACAACGAACTACTAGCAGTTGTGAAAAAACATGAAGTTGTTCTGCGAGGTATTTATAAGGAGGAAGAAACAGCTATTTAAATAAAAACCAACCAACCAAATAGAAACTCAAAAGAAAATTCTGTGTGTGCAAGTGTGCATGCTCACACACTGAAAAGAACACACACCAACAGTGGTTACCCTTAGGAAGTGGAATTGGTTAAGGAGAAAATGAAAGAAAGCAGTCAGCAGGGACCTTTATTTTATTCACGCCTATGTCCCAGCACCTAGGACTGTGCCTGGCTTGGGGTGGGTACTCAATAAATATTTGATGAACAAAGAGATTAGGAAGTTGATTTGTGTGTTATATAGAGCATATATTACATCTGTAATTTTTTTACATAATTTTAAAAAAGAGAGGAAAAGAAGCACTCAGTAAATGCAGAATAGAAAAAATTTTTTAAAGAAGGAAAGGAATTAAAAGAAGAAAGGATAAAAGTAATGTACTGTTTACCCAAAGCCCTGGCCTTCATGAGGTGTTAAGAATACAGAACAGATTTCACGGTCCTCAGTCACTGTGGACATTTCCTGCCATCTCGCACTTTGCTTTCAGCTCAGATGACATATCCCACCCGGTCATAGCTCTGGGGAAAGGTCTCGGCAAGGTCAGTGTCCAGGAAAGTCCACTCCCCGTGATGTAGGACGTCCTGGAGGCCCCTGGGACTGTCTTACTTACCAGCTTCCAACACCTTCTTCAAATGGGAAGGTGTTGATTCCTAAAGAGATTTTGAATACTTCAGATTTTCTAACTCCCTGGGCTGCCAGGCAGAGAAGCAGACAGTTGTTACCCAGAGCAGCTGCCACTCAGCAGCTGCCTGACAAACGCCAGGAGGAAGCCACTGAGCCTTCTGCAGCAGTCCATGGGGCGGACCCTAAGTCGCTTTTCTGGAACAGCCCAAATCTAGGCCTGGCATGCTCAGCGGCTGTCTGTGCAGCTGACTCAGAGCAGGGCCTTGCTGGTGGTTCCTTCAAGAACAGTGGCTTTAGCTGAAGTTAATTTGAGTTTCTTTTCAAAGCCACTAAAGAAAACAAAAACATCAAAGGCCATTTCCCTCTCTCCCTGAAAGGAAAACAGAGGCAATGTCTGCCGTTGGCCAGGTGTCCCTCACACCCAGCATGGCGCCAGGCTCCTACGCGGGCTCCATAAACCTTTGTTGAACGAATGAAGTGACAAGATACAACATAAGGCTTCATAACACGGGCTGCCCGATCAACTTCCAGCCTGACATTGGTATAAATGGTTTACTATCTCAGCTTAACTCAGGAAAGCCTCAGAGCATTAGCTGTGAGATTTGTCCTTGGCGTGAAGCATGTCGCCAGTGGGAGCCCTGACTTGTGCAGGCTGCAGCAATCGACAGAAACCACAGCTAGTGAAGGGGAATTCAGAAACCAGGGGCTCTTCGCCACTCAAGTAGTGTTCTTGAGGTCGCCCCAGTAAAACACCCGGGGAACTTTCCTGCCTTTTATTCCTGCTTGAGTTCTCTACGGCTGCCCTGTCTCCGTTTTTGCCCCCTCTTCCCCCACTTTCTTTATTGCCTTCTCTGTGCGTGGGGGTCTCTTAGAGCAAGAGACACCATCCATGGCTTAGAAATCGGGGTCCTGCTTCACTTGGCTTCGGGGGCAGCCACGGCCGTGCTGGGTGATCGGAAACATCACAACCCCGCTCTGTACTTCTCTTTCTTGCTGTGTATTGTGAGAGAGTTGGACCTGATCATTTCCAAGGTCACCTCGAGTTATACCTTTTAGTCATTCTAAATAATTTCGCTTCTTCTTCTACCACAAGAAGGAAGGAGATAGAAGAAATTGAAGATGATAATCAGTTAAGAATCTTCTGACCCACAGAAAAGGCAGACATCTCCTCCCTGCTCTTTTAATCTAGTGGTTAACCCTGAGTCCGAAACAGCCCAGGAAATACGTTCTGAGCAGAAGTGGCCATTGATAGGACTAGGCAAGTCTAGCCACCACCTTTGAGCTGTTTTCCAACGGGGGTTCACAGGCGTGGAACATGACCTGGGCAAGCCATTTCACAGACTCCCTTTATACCTGAGTTGACTATCTCTAGATTAAAGTTGGCCAAAAGTTAAAAACCAAGAGGGTGGAAATATGTCACTTTTCCCAAGATGTCCTAAGAGATGAGTCTAGGGGTCAGAATCAGACATCTCTATAGCTAGAAGAGACCCAGGTGGGCCTTTAGATTGGAACAACGCTTCTTTTTACAAATGAGGAAATTGATTCCCAGGGAAGTGAAAAGGCCCATCCAGGGTCACACGGATGATGAGACTAAAGCTTCCTTGTTGTGTCTGTGCATGTCTGTCTACACCCCTAGATGGCCAGTGCCCGAAGGCCGGGCCCTTGTCCTAGACATCTCGGCATGCCCTTGATCTTCGTTTGCTTAACTCTGTGGCTGACACTATTCTTTGCATTAACTTTTTATTGAAGGTTAACCTATGGATTCAAAGGGTACAGCTCAGCCCCCAGGATCCAGATCAAGAAACAAAACCAACTAGCACTCCAGAAGCCCCCCACGCCTTCTCCCCGTCACTTCCCCCCAGGGTAACCACTACTTTGAGCATTGTTTTACTTTTTATTCCAACTTCCTTAATATAATATGCTGGCCTGACTTTTTTTTTCCCCACTGTTTTTTGTGTGTGTGTGAGGAAGATCAGCCCTGAGCTAACATCCATGCCAATCCTCCTCTTTTATTTTTTTGCTGAGGAAGATCGGCCCTGAGCTAACATGTAATGACTTTTTTTAATCACCATATGAAGAACATATTTGATTTGGATTTAAATTCAGAGAGGGGAATCTTTAGTAGTTCAAGTGAAAAAGGTCAGATTTCCTGATGAAATTGCTCTCAGACCCACTAGTTCCTCAACTGGGGTTTCCTTCTGCCCCTTAAACCTTTTGAAATCATATTTCTCAGACATGTTGCTTAATTGATTGCCATCTTGAACCTACCTTTTCTAAGAAACACCGGGCATTTTTGAACTGGCTTCCTTCCACCTAAAATTGAGCACACAGGAAAGTCCCTTTGCTCTCTGTAGGTGGTCTTGTAGGCATGTGTGACCCACAAAGTCAGCTACACAAATAAAATGGGCCTGGGTCATAGAGGAGTAGTAGGTGATGGAACTGCATTTGGAAAGGCTCTTGTGGTTGGGGGGAGCTTGGTGCTATCGAGTAAGCGGGGGCAGGGAGGAAGGAAGAGTGGAGGTGATAGCTGGTGGGGGGTGACACGTCATGCATGGTCCCTGCGGTTGGGCAGGGCATGGCCTGATAAGAGCTTGGATTTAACTTAGAGTGCAATGGGGAAGCATTGATGAATTTGTCCTACATCAATCAGTCTAAGACCAGCAGGGACAAAGTCAGGTTTATGCACCCACTACAGTGAGGGGGATCACGGAGCAGAGGAAACGCAAATGCAGGCTGTCTCACAGAGGATAAGTAGCATAATTATGGGGTTGGGGGAAAGGTGGGGTTTAGGTGAAATGTAAATGAAGGCCTATCTTGATAAGATCTATGCAAAACAGGGCAGTGAGTAAAGGGGTCTGTGTCAGCCTAGACTGCAAAGTGGACACAGGCTGCTCTCTCCTCGGAACCGCAGATTTGGGGTAGACGGGAAATGTCGTGTCTGATGCTCTGTATCTGAAGCTCTGCGTGGGGCTGGGAATTGAGGCCACTTCTCCAGCAAGAGTGGGGTGTTTCCTTCTTACTGATAGAACTTCAGACAGCAGTGCTTCCGAGAGCCTAGGAGTTGAGAGAACCAGGTCTCTCCATGCGTTAGACAGCAGTTGTCACTCAGAGGGAGGTTGTTTGGACACTCGACAGCTGAGTGAGTCCTGGGAGAAGCATTTGTCCTGTCTGCTTGCAGCTGCTTTGTCTGTCTGCATCTGTTATTCTGACCTGAGGAATGGTGGGACCCACTTGCCTCAAGCTGTACACATTCTTTCACCAAAACAAACAAGTAACAGATATAGCACTTACCTCATGCCAGGCCAGAGCTGGGTCACCGTTGTGAACAAAGGGACCCTCACCTAGTCCTCATAAGCTGCGCCTCCACCTGGGTTGACCTCCCCGGGCTCCACATATTGACATCCTAACCACCCATGATCCAACGTGGAAGCCCCCTTCCGTGACGGGTTCTTTGGTGCCTGATGGGAAATACAGTCTCCCCCTGCCAAACTCTCTGGAACTTGGCCTTTTCCTTTCCTCAAGGCCCTGTCCTACTTCCCAGCCTATGTCCTGGGTGTGCCCTTTTCTTGTTTCCCCCTTTAGACTAAGCCCCTGGCAGACAGCTATACCTATAAAAGACACTACCCTATAAAATTGCCCATTCCCAGGCTCTCCCGGAGATGTTCTAGGCAAGAGATCTGAGGTGGAGACCTGGCAAGTCTATTATTTTCAAGTTCACCAGTTCAGATCCCTGGCCAGGTTTGGAGGCTGCCACCCTGGAGCAGCCAGCGTGGTGCCCGCTCCAGAGTCAACATCAATGAGTTCTGGAGGATTGGCTCGAGTCCCAAGTTCCCATTTACAGGCAGACTCCAGGCTCAGAGAGGTTCTGCTTGCCACAGCAGCAAGGGCAACGACTGACCGAGTGCCCTTCATCTGATCATAGGTCCTGCCCTTTTGGGGTAAACTCCAAACGCCTTCACAGGACATTTCCGACTCCATCTCTCTCCTCCCTTCGCTCACTTCTCTCCGGTCACTTTCCATCATCCGAATCACCAAGTTCTCTTCTGCCTCCCACTCTTGCCAGTGAAAGCTGTGGGCCACCTTCATCTGGTCACCTCCTGCTCCCTATCAGCTCTCAGCTGGAGCGACATGGCCTGTGACAGGCCTCTGCTCCCCCCACAACCCTGTTAGTCCCTCCACTTCATACCCTTAAAGCCCCTCCACCTGTCTCGTTCACGGCTGCATCCTCAGCATCATCAAATGAAAGCTTTAATAACCCAGGACTTGAGTCACAGCCTCGATCCCTAGAGAACATCAGAATGCCCTGGGAAGCTTGTTGATACTGCAGATTCCGGGGTTCCCCATTGCAACTCAGAGTTTCAGTACAACTGCCATGGGGCCCAGGAATCTGCATTTCTAACCCACTTTCCAGCTGAGATTGATGTAAACAGCTATGGGCCACCACGTGAGGAAGACCGTCCTCCACCAGGGGACCTCCCCACCGGCGTCCTGCAGTTCCCAGCCTCAGAGCGAAGGGCCACCAGTTAGGGGTGTCAGGAGAGCCCCTCAGCAGTGTCGGAGCTGCCTTCGCTGTCTGAGGGATAACTCTGAATGTGATCTGTGGACTCAGGGCTAACGTGTCTTTTCCCCCGGCTCTTTTTCTCCCTAAGGCCCTCTTCACTATTCCCAGACCCACTCGGGCTTCATTGCCAGCTCTGCCTTCCCAGGTGTACGACGTGCCTGTCCAGAGCCGGGGCCCCCCTGCCTTGAAGGTGAGCCTCAACCGCGGCCCTGCTTCCCCCGGAGTGGGCGTGCTCAGTGTCACGCAGACACAGCGTTTCAGCGTTACCAACCAAGGTGTTCTGGAGCATCAGTCCGCTCCTGGCTCCGAAGGTCATGTCACCACTCAGAAGCCAGCTTTGTGCCCAGGGAGCCCAGACCCTCTCAGGAGAGCGTTGTGACTATTTGAATTCTGAATATTTAAAAAATGTTTACTTTTCATTTGTAATAGATATTTTTTTATCTATGCACACAAACACATATATGCAGTTTTTAAAATAATAATACCCTGAAGGCTATACATCATAGTCTTAACATTATCATTGGTTATCTTAACATTGATTATCTCTGGGGGATGAAATTTTAGGGTTTTTTGTTTTGTTTTGTATGTAACTGGTACATCAAATTTGTGAGACCAGCTTCATGTAATCAGAAAGCAACTTCCCTCATTTCTTTGCACATCCAAACTGCCCAGTGGCTGCGGTTCTCCCGCCCCATCAACGCAATGAAACATCCGGTGCCTTAACCACGCCGGCTGCCTGGCCCACCCCAGAGACTCTGATGGCTGAGGTCCGGCGGCCCGGGCAGCAGGAATTTTAAAGCTCCCGGATGATTCTAAAGTGCAGCCAGGGTCAGGAGCCACAGCTCTGGGGTAAATAAAAACTTAGGCAGGCTCTGTGACTTCCTGGTCACCCACAAGTAATAAAACGTCACTTTAGCCTCTCCAGTCTCAGTGGAGGAATTTAAATATCCATTCCAGGCAACAAACTTTCTACTTCATTTAAAGCGAGCTCCTGCCCTCCTGGCTTGATTGTGAGGGCTGGGCTCCCGCCGCAGGACTGAGGATTGGCTGGATTCTCTGTCGTTCCCTATCTCGGGTTTCTCCTCCTCTCCCCTCCCTAGAGGTCTCAGGCTCCTGTAGGGCAGAGGAGGGCAGGTAGGGAGAGAGGGCACAGGGCCCTCCTTGCTTGGATCTGCTGGGGGGATGTCACAGTGTTGCTCTGTGGAAGTAGTGAGTACCTAAAGTTGATGCTTTCTCTTCTGGGGCATTCCTGCAGGTGCCACCCCGCCTCTCCCCCCACCTCACTGCTGGGCGTCTCTTACCTGCAAGTTCCTTGACGTGGGCAAATGCCCCTCCTCTGGCTGGTGGCTGAAGGCTCCTCCCTTAGCTCCGGGGCAGGCGGCTCATCTCCTGCCTCATCCTCCTGAGAGTCTCGCACCCATTCCGGCCTGGCTCTGGCTCCAGCTCTCACATGATCCCCGTCTGGTCCGTGAAAGCACAGTCTCCCTTGGCTGTGAGGCACTCGGGGCGCACAGGCTGGGCGGGACGAGGTGAGGAGAATGAGGCACTCGCCTCGGGCACAGAAGTTTTAAATAAACACGCACTTGCCCCGATGCGCCTCGCTCATCTCACCTTCAGCCCCACCCTGTTGGATCCTGTCTTTATTTAAAATGTTGACATTTTGTTCATCATGATTTTTTCACATTAATTGTGATTTTTTTAAATATTGCATTACAACATGCTTTACCTTGATTCCCGAGGTTTTTGAGCCCACTTCAATGTTGGGCCCCAGCGGGCCCTTCACTTTCCTCACCCTCTTCCCTCCCTGAGAGCAGGCCATCCCCGGCCACCACCCTGTGCTTCGTCACCACATTCTCACCCTTAACTTTTCCCAAGCCAGAGTTACCCCGTGCACTAAGACCCCAAGCTCAGCTGACACAGCACAAGCCATCGAAGGTCCCACTGGAGGACTTGCCACTTTGCTGGGGGGCGAGGAAAAGCACCCCACCGTCCCCGACAGAGGAGGGGTCAGCAGGAAACCCACAGCCCCACCCTCTCCAAAGAAACCCCCTCTCCAAATTCCAGCCTTTTCTCTCTTTGTAAAACCTGTTGGGGTGCTCTCTCACCTCGCTTGGGAACATGGAACCTATTTTTCACATCCTAACACATGTATTTTCTAATGGCTGTGCCAAAAAATGCAGATTATCTCCCCACCATGTCTTTTGCTCCTTACTGAGTATATGTATGTCATTTGGCTCAGTGTCCAGTAGTACACTCTCAGTAAATATGTGCAGGATGAATACGTGAGTGATAAGCACAGGAAATTTCTAGTAAGAAAAACAAACAAGAAAGACAAAAGACGTATTAAGTCCCAATCTCATTTATTCTTCTTTAATTCAATCTTAAGGTTAATTTACAGAAGGAAATGAACTATAGTTTTTAACTCAGGCACCTGCACTTAATGTCTCTATAGTTTGTCCCACCTGTGGTTGAGAAGACCCCTTTCTAAAGTACAGAGTCCATTGTTGAAAATACACCCCCTGCAGCGTGGAAGCTTCCACCATAAGAGCATCGTCACTGAAAGTCCCCAAATCTTCGGAGATTTGTGCTTTCTTTTGGAAAAAATACTGGCGTGGGGGGTAGTTTGTGATGTGCAGCCATCAGGAAGGAAAAATCCAAATTGTCCTCCTTTGTGGTCTTTCCCCAGGAGCCAGAAAAGCAGCAGTTGTATGACATCCCCACCCGCCCCCAAAAGGTGGTACTCGGTCCCCCCTCCAGCCAGCCATGTGTGAGTATGACAAGGTGCTGAGATTCGATGCCATGAAAGCCTGAACGTCCTCTGGGAGATTTTATTAGCTTGGTCAAAATGAGGAAGGCAAACTCCTCGCGGCAGACCTTATTTCATTTGAGGCAAAATCCCTAAGCGCTGTGGTGTTCAGGAACAGGACTAGCTATGTGGTTTGGGCAAGTCCTTGAACTTCTCCATACCTCAGTTTCTTATTACAGACTTGCTGCAAGCATTGCTATAGTCCCTGCAAAGGACCCAGGACAGTGCTTGGCACAGAGCAAGAGCTCAGTAGCCCTTAGATAAATGCTTCTTCTTCTTATATACCTCAGAGATGTGTTGTGTTACAGTAGGTTTTTATTTGTATATAGAGGAGGTGCCTTAATTTGAAATCTTAATCCATGTGTATCACTGGATTCTGTCACATGTATACAATACATACACCTGTGCCCAAGGTTATTAGGAAAGACCTTACAAAAGAGGTGGCATTGCAGCAGTGTCAGGAGGGGTGCAGAGAAGTTTGTTAGATGGAAAGCAAAGAGTTGGAAGGGCATTTAGAGCAGAGGGACCAGTTTGGGCAACATCAAATATGGTGGTATAAGTGAGCTCTCTGAGTTCAGGGAAAGGTAAACAGCCTGGCTGGCTGGACCTACAAGAAGAGTGGTGGCAGGGATGGTGGGGAGGCCTGGTGGAAGTGGTGAGAAAGGAGGCTCAAAAGGAGAGTGGAACCAGACTGTGGAGGGCCTTGAGTGATAACAGCAATGTGGGAGCTGCTGAAGAAGCTTGAGCAGGGGAATGCAGATCAAATTTTGTGTGTGTGTGTGTGCGCGTGAGGAAGATCAGCCCTGAGCTAACATCTGTTGCCAATCGTCCTCTTTTTGCTGAGGAAGATTGGCCCTGGGGCTAACATCTGTGCCCATCTTCCTCTACCTTATATGTGGGATGCCTGCCACAGCATGGCTTGATAAGCAGTGTGTAGGTCAGTGCCTGGGATCCGAACCTGTGAACCCCAGGTTTCTGAAGCGGAGTGCGCGAACCCAACGGCTATGCCACGGGGCCGGCCCCTGAAGATCAGATTTTTAAAAAGCACAGTGCCTGGCACTTAGTGGGTCCTCAGCATAATACACATTTTTCAGATAAGTTGTTCACAACTTTTTATTGCTACTAAACTGGGCAACTTTGTGTGGATCTCCACAGGGCCAGAGTGTTCCCCTGACATCAGCGATTGCCTTAAGGAGAGGCGGCTACAACACGTTACCAAGCCCTCAGAAATCAGAATGGATTTATGACACTCCGGTGTGTCCAGGAAAAGCTGATACAAGAAATGCGTCCCTAACCAGCTTTGTGGAAGAATCGGGGCCTCATGCGCACCCCAGGTATATGTCCAGTTTTCACAATCCTCCAAATAGCAGAGCAAGGTCGCCCACTTTACACCTGCATAAAAATGTGCCCATGCAGAAAAAACTCAGCCTTTCAGAAATTCCTTCTTACAGCATTCCAGCCCCCTGGGACACATTCCCTTTTGATGAAGGTGTAAGCTACAAGGTTCCTTCAAGCTTTCTGGTTCCCCGAGTGGAACAGCAGAACACCAAGCCAAACATTTACGACATCCCTAAAGCCATGCCAAGTGTCCCTCAGGTTGGGAAAGAGCTGGGAAAAGCCAGTGGGGCTTCAGAGAATTCCACGAACCATAATTCCTCGTGGTTCTCCAGACGGGCCACATCGCTATCTCCTGAATCGATAATGGACAGATTATCCATTTCCAGTTCTGACAGCAGAGCTAGTGTCCTTTCTTCATGCTCTTCTACATCCACTGACTCTTTTTCTGGCTCCTTCTCTGAGGAGTCAGTAAAGGAGCTCCCCTTGGACCTGGACTTGGCCAAAGAGACCGTAACGACTTTGCAGCACAAAGTGGCCAGCTCTGTCGCAGGCCTGATGCTCTTTGTAAGTAGGAAGTGGAGGTTCAGAGACTATCTGGAGGCCAACATCGACGCAATCCACAGGGCCGCCGACCGCATAGAAGAATCTTTGAGAGAATTTCTGGATTTTGCCCACAGAGTCTGTGGGACCACATGTAATCTTACCGACAGTAACCTTCAGGCCAGAATTAAAGATCAGCTACAGACAATCTCCAACTCCTACCACGTCCTGCTTGAAACAAAGGAAAGCCTGGATAGGTGCAGCTGGTCCCTGGAAGTCCTTGTGACTGACAAAGTCCAAAACAGCCTGGATGACCTTGAGCGATTTGTCATGGTGGCGCGGATAGTTCCAGAAGACATCAGGAGGTTTGCTTCCATTGTCATTGCCAATGGGAGGCTCCTTTTCAAGCAGAATTGTGAAAAGGAAGAGACCCTGCAGTTGACACCAAATGCAGAATTTAAGCTTGCAGAATGCATCCAGCTTCCCCAAAGGGAAGTTGAATCATACCAAAGGAGTGCTCCTTTTAATAAGGAAAGGGACAGTGGACACTCCCCTGAACTATTAAAGAAAAATAGGACAAATGTCTATGAACAGGTGAGTTCAGAGTTCCAAGTGGTATAATACAAGCAGGGCTTTCAATTTTTATCTGGAGTGGTCGCCAATAACTTAGATGCTGAGAATCTTTCAATCTTTATATAGGCTTTGGGGAGACACTGGTTCCATTTTCCAGAAAATAAAATTCACAAAAGTAAAGTTCTAGATGAAATCTTATTAGGAAATAAGATAAATATTTTATTTTATTTTTTTTTAATTTTTTTCGCCCAAAGCCCCAGTAGATAGTTGTATGTCATAGTTGCACATCCTTCTAGTTGCTGTATGTGGGGCGCGGCCTCAGCATGGCCGGAGAAGTGGTGCGTCGGTGCGTGCCCGGGATCCAAACCTGGGCCACCAGCAGCAGAGCGTGCACACTTAACCGCTAAGCCACGGGGCCGGCCCAAGATAAATATTTTAATATTGAGACAGATAGGATGTCTTCTGGAAATTTTAAGATTTCAGGTTTACCTTTGATACTAGAATTAGAAAGGATTTTGAAAACCTTTTGAAATCTGTTCTTTGAGCAAATATTTTAATCTCACCATCAAATTTCCTTTCATTTTTGAAAGTTATAAATTTAGTCATTGTCAGTGTGTTTCTTAGAAACAGAAGAGGAAGTGTAAATAAACACTCTTCCAAATTGTGCATGGTCTTTGTAGCCTCCAGACTCTAGTTACTCTTAAAAACACTTTGCTGCATGAGTTCAGACACTATAGAAAGAATCTTTAGTTCAAGGATTGCAAGTCTCGCGAGGTGCAGCAGGTAACCTGGGGCTGTATTAAGGAAATAATTTGGCACTTTCAGCCCCAGTCTTGGTATTCTGCTGAAACGCCTAGTGGTGTAAGAGCTTTAATACATTCTGGAGAAGCTAGAGATGTGGATATTTTTCATTTCCCAATTTAAGAATACATATATATTTTTTCAAAAAACAACTTTGTGTCATTATATTAGGCCATGATGGTAGGCAAAATTCAACAGCTGGGCTGCCAAAGTCTCCTTTGTTGAAAAAAGGCCTCAGTAGGCAGAATCATCAACAAAAATATAAAGAGGAGTGCTCAAGTTTTAAAGTGGATTTAAACAGCTATATAGTAATATAAAAACCATTCAAGTGGGTAATTCGAAAGGATTTTATTTTTCAGAAGTTGCCTAACCTAGAAGAAAAAGAAAAATCCATCTTGGAACAACGGTTGGATGAAAACAAAGACTCAGAAACACAGGTAAGCCATATGGTCACTCTGCAATACTTTTGATTAATATGTTTTATTCCTAAAGATGTTCCTGCTGTGAATAATTCACCATTATGGCCATGACCCACATGGGAGGAGATTTGGTTTTTGTGATGGTTTTTTCTTTTTTACGGTAGAAGGAACCCTAGAGATGAACAAATTCAGTGAAACCCAGGATGTAGAACGTGATCCTTTAACCATTAAGAAATAATTGTAGGTGCTCTCCAGGTTTATCATGGGTGGTACTGACACAGCATTAAAGAGCACGGACTCACATTCCTTTTGGCTTTCTCTTTTAATGTCTCTGATTACAACAGAAAAACCACTCAGGTTTGGGGCTTGTGTATCTTCAACACTTCTTTGACACTTGATGTTCTTCCTTTTTTTTTTAAGTCAAAGATATTATCTTTGTGCCTATTTTTATTGGTTACCTCCTCTTGGTGGCAAATGACAGAAGTTTTCCATTTACCGATTTAAAAAGTTTCCTTTCAATTAATTTAAGTAAAAACAATGGATCCACTTAAAGACGAAAATTAAGCAAGTTGAAGTTAAGAGGAAGAAGGAAAGGGCATAACTTGTGATGGTTTTCTTTGAATACCTGAAGCCTGGGAAACAGTGAACCAGTTCAACTCCCCGGCTGTGGCTGGGGGTGGGTGAGGGAGGGACAGAGATGTTCAGTGATGTGGACAAGATTATTTGCCTTCTCAGTGGCAAAACTAGGACAAGAACCCAGGCCTCTTGATGCTCAGTTCCTCAAACCCCAAACTTTGGGTCTGCCAGATTGCTGAAAGTCATGTTATTTTGTTCAACATGAAGTATGCCTTGGACCAGTGGTTCTCAAACTTGAGAGTATATCACAGTCTTCTATAGGGCTTCTTAAAACCCACAGGGCTGGGCCCCACAGTTTCTGATTCAGTAGGTCTTGGGTGGGACCCGAGAATTTTCTTTTCTAACAAGCTCCCAGGTGATGCTGATGTTGCTAGCTCAAGGACCACACTTAGAAGACCACTGGTTTAGAGAGACAGTGCTTCTCAGTGGGGTGGGGGGCACCACTGACCACTGGATGGACAGTTCTCCACTGTGTGGGATGGATTGTTCAACATCCCTAGCCCCCTGCCCACTGGCTGCCTGCAGTGCTCCCTAGTCAATGTGACAACCAAAGATATCGCCACACATTTCCAACACCCCAGGATGAGAGTCATAGTACATTTTCCATTTACCTACAGTTAATACTTTCAAGCTAAGATGCCAATACTCCAATGTCTAGATCGTTGCTTCTCATTATTTCCAGCCTCTGCTGCATTCTTCTCACGCTCCCTGCCCCCAGAGAGTCCCTCTCAACCAACACCCCAATCTTTTCTTCACTTTACTTGTCTATCTTAGTCCGTTTGTGCTGCTATAACGAAGTACCATAGACTGGGTGGCTTATAAACAACAGAGATTTATTTCTCACAGTTCTGGAGGCTAGAAGTCTGAGATCAGGGTGCCAGCACGGTCAGAGTCTGGTGAGGGCTCTCTTCCAGGTTGCAGATTGCCAGCTTCCCATTGTGTCCTCACATAGCAGAGAGCAGAGAGGGGAAGCAAGCTCTTTTGAGACTGCTGTAAGGGCACTAATCCTTTCATGGGTGCCCCACCCACATGACCTCATCTAATCCTAATCAGCTCCCAAAAGCCCCACTTCCTAAAACACTTTCACATTGAGGGGTAGAGTTTCAACATATGAATTTGAGGGGGACAAAACAGATCATTACACTGTCTGAGTGCTTCTGGGCTATGACTTTTGAGATCATAGGTAGATGAGAGAGTCTGCAGTTTAATGGAAAGAATGAGAGTTTCAAACTTAGCTGACTTGGCCTGGAGTTCTAGATCTTTATTTTGCTCATTGAATGACCCTAGACAGCCTCTTCTGTTCAGGGAGCCTCGGTTTCCTCAGGTATAACCTGACAAAGGGGCTTTTGATTGTTACCTAGAGTGGTTGCCACTAAGTTAGATACTGAGATTCTTTCAATTGTGTATAGGCTTTGGGGGGACATTGTTCCATATTCCAGAAAATTCCATGAAAGTAAAATTATAGATGAAACCTTATTAGCAAGTAAGATAAATATTTTAATCTTAAGGCAGATAGATCAGCATATTTGGATTCCTTCTGGAAATTTTGGGGGTTCAGATTTGCCTCTGATACTGGAATTAGAAAGGATTTTTAAAATCTATTGAGTAAATTTTTAATCTCACTGGCAAGTTTTCCTGCATTTTGTTGTTATAAATTTAGTCATTGTCAATGTGTTTCTTAGAATGGGTTTCTAATGGTTTGTTGAGAGGATTGAATAAGATTTTATATATATATATATAATATGTAAGATTATATATATAATGCAGTATAAAATATAAGATTTTATATGTGTATAAATATTATATTCTATATATAACAGTGCTTTGAAAACATTAATGTTAATTTGTTAGGCAAATGTTGTACTATGGGGCTTCCCAAACTACACTGTACTTTTTTCTTATAAACAGTCTAGCAAATTAAGCAAAAACAGGAAAAGGGGGATAACCACAGCCTGTTGATCGAATCTGTCTCTTATCTATTGTTTTCTTCCCCGTCTCTAGAATCCTAGCTCCCTTGTCCCCCGACCTTTGAGTCAGCAGAATCCTGAGAAGAAAATCCACCTTTCTGAACACTGCCGGCTCTATTTTGGGGCACTCCTCAAAGCCATCGGCGTATTTACCAGCAGCCTCAGCAGCAGCCAGCCCCCGGAGATCTTTATCGCGCAGAGCAAGCTGATCATCATGGTGGGGCAGAAGCTGGTGGATACGCTGTGCACGGAGACCCAGGAGAGGGACGTGCGCAACGAGATCCTCTGCGGCAGCAGCCACCTTTGCAGCCTGCTCAAGAACCTCGCACTGGCCACCAAGCACGCGGTGCTCAAGTACCCAAGCCCTGCAGCCCTGGGGCACCTCCAGGCCGAGGCCGAGAAGCTGGAGCAACACACGCGGCAATTCAGAGGGACGTTGGAATGAGCCTCCTTCCCTCTTTTCTTCTCCCGGTTAACCTCTTAGCTTCAGCCTCACATCCACAGCCACGGAGGACTCTGTCCTATGGGAAAAGCCAGACTGGGGACACACCAACGAGCAGAAACAGCCATGGAGCGCCAAAGCCAGTATTACCAAGTGGCTAGGCAACCCCAGGGCATTGACTTATTCCACAGCGAGTCAGGTCCTTGCCAAGTTTTTTAGCATATCATGTAGGGTCAGTGTATGAAGTGAGATTGTAGAAACCAATTTTTATATTGGTTAAATGTGTGCCTGTTTTAAATTCATTCATTCAATGCTTGTTTCTTGGGCACCTACTATATGTCAAATTCTAGATGCTGGACATATAGCAGTGAATCAAGTAGCAGAGGCCGTGCCCTCAGGGGCTTGCAATCTAGAGGAGACACAGACAATAAAGTGATGGAGGAATACATATACAATGTATCAGGTGTTAGGGAGAAAATAAAGTCAAAGAGGAAGAGACTTATTTTCAAATGATTAGTTTCTGTTGCACCCGTTAGACAATGTGATAAGTTTTTCATTTGGATTGAATTAATTCTGTGAGATCAATACAAATTATGTATCTGCATCTTACACCAAAAATATGTATTTGTTTGCTATTTTCTCTTAACTGAGTTCAAGATGCCTGTTATATTTGCAACATAACATGTTCTGTTGGGTTCCCTATTAATTTATTTTGTACATTATAGATTCTGTGTTGATAAATTCAATATGCTCAATCAGAAAAGGTTTATACCTCAACAGTCTCAAATCTGTTTCCATTTATAATGTTATGTAAATAGAATCATGAATTGAAACATCCTTTGCAGCAATCCTTTCTTTGGAAAAGTCTTTGATCCATGTCACCGGGGTTCACGTACCAAAGCAAAGCCTCCAATGTTTACTTTTGTTATTCAAATGCTTCTCCCCAAAGTGTCCAGGCAGATGCAGTAGAGGCCAAGTTCTCATGTGCAAGGCAAGGCTAATATGGGAAAAGCAAAGCCATCACTCGTGGTGGTACAGCCAGGAAATGTGGTGCGGGCAGGCTACCCACTCCCGTGCACAGATCTGCAAGTTGTGCACAGCTCCCCTCAGGTCAAACCGCCTCCTCTTCCTCTCCTTGCAGCTGAGTCTTTAGCTCCTGTTGCTATGGTTACATCATCCCTACTTCACTTCAAGTGAAGGTCCCTGTCTCCTACATGCATCTCAGCCACTAAACACCTTTGCAGCCTGGAAACAGCATCTCCAGGCTGGAAGTCACCGGAAATGGTACCAGATCCAGTTCCTGCCTGCTACTCAGCGCTTGGTAGGTGGTTTTAAATTGTTGACTACTAGAAGGCTGGTTATCTTCACTGAGTTAGTCTCAGGGTTCCTAAAGAAGAATCCCATCTTGGTGAGGCTTGATTCTCCACACTGGAACAGAGAGAGGCACATTCTTTGAACAGCTGTGATCTGTATCAGTTAGGACTCCTTCTGTTACAAGGGATCAAAAACGATATCCAGTCTGTCTTAAGCAATAAAGGAAATTTATTGACTCAAGTCTCTTAAAATAATCTAGAGGCAGACTGGCTTCAAGGCCAGCTAGTTTTGGGTGCTCCATCAGTATTATCGAGGCCTAGTTCCTTAGTCCTGCTTCTCTGGGTTAACTCTCATGATGGCAAGGTGGCTACCCTGGGTTATGTTCTTCTTGGTTTGTGGTCCAAGGAGAAGAAAGAGACTTGATTCTGCTTGGACTAGCTTAGATCAGGGGCCTGCCCCTGAAAACTCCATGACGAGTGGGGCATGTAATACCTAAGTTGACTTAGACCTGGAATTCACCCTACACGCACACACACTCCCATGTGTCCTGAGAGCGGTGGAGGGATGGCTCTGCCGAGAACTGTGAAGTGTCTGAGATTTCCCCCTACTTCAAATTAACAAGTTAGCCTGCCACAGTTTCATGCATGCTGAGAGAAGACACGAGATTCTGGGGTCAGAGACTATGTTCGGGGTCCCCAAGACCACCCCAGGTCCAATGATTCCCCAAGACCACCCCAGGGCGGATTCACAGGACTCAGCATATGGTCGTACTCATGGCCATGATCTGTTACAGTGAAAAGATACAGCAAAGGGAAGGGCGCTTGGGGTGAAGTAGGAAGGAAACCAGGCTCCAGCTGCCAAGAGTCCTCTCCCAGTGGGCACACAGGACACCCGTAATTCCCCCAGCAACGAGTGGTGACAACACATGTGAAATGTTGCCAGCCAGAGCAGCTCATGAGAGCCTCACACTCAGGGTTTTTATTGGGGCTGATCATGGAGGCAGCCTCTGCATGGCACATACCAAAATTCCAGGATCTCAGAAGGAAAGCAGGTGTTCAGCAGGAATCACACTGTTAGCACAAACAGGTGGGCACACTGAGCCATTCTTATCAACTTTGGGGATGCTGGGAACCCTCCCCAAATCCAAGTTCCTATACAACAACCGAAGGCCAACCTCGAAAGCAGGGGCCTTTCTTAGGATATTAGTTGGGCCCGCTATGCCATCTCTTCTGCACAGAGACACAGGACTTTTCTTACAACATCGCAAGCAGCCTCATCTTTACATCATTTCCCCACACTCCCTAAGTCCCAGGGGCAATGCAAAGTGGGTGCCTGTGCTGCTGTGCACACAGTTTGTGTCAAAGCCAAAGGCCCCAGAGCATAGGAAACCCCAATCTTTTCTGATGGGCTCTGAGCAAACCGATCAAGCTTTGCCTTGGAGAGAGGCATTATCTTTATGATATTGGACAGCAAACAAACCCGCCCTTCTGCTCTGTAGGGAAATACTACCTCTATTTTCCAAGGGTGTTTGCTACAAACAACCTCGGAAAGACAGTCCAGAACAAAATGTCGTCAATGCTTCTGCTCAGAAGATGTGTAGAAACGCAAAAGCCCCCTGGGGGACTGTGTCCCAACAGGAGCCCCTAGCAAAGTAGGTTTGTTGTTGGGAGAAGGAGGGGTTGCTGCAGTTTACTCCAGCGGGCAAATTATTTATTACACAATAATAATAACAACAGCACATATTTATTAAGTGATTGCTACGTTCCAGACACTGTTCTAATACTTTAGATGTTTTAGTTCATTTAGGCTTTCATAAGTGACACAGTCTCTAAGGTAATGAACAAGTCCCTCTTGGTTTCAGAACACCATATATGTATCTATGCAGATAAATAGATAGATATATATGGAGATCTGTCTATCTATCTATATATATATATATATATATATTTTGAGATGAGTTCAAAGCAAGGACCTTCGTTGACAAAGTACAAAACCACTGGGTTTAAAATAATGAAAACTGCTGCTCTTAGCTAAATGTGTTTCCTTCCTTTTTTTGAAAGAAAGCAGTTATGGGATGAGTTTCCACTGATTAATTCAATAGGATAATGATTCCTGAAAAAAATTTTAAACGAAGAATAAAATCACATTTTGTAGCTTTTGGAACTTTTGCTAAATATTTTTGTTTGATGCTTAGAATTCTGTACTGTTTCCTCTCGAGGAAGGAAGAGGAAATGGTGGGCGGTATGGCGGTGGAGGTGGTGGTAGCAACCGACCTCAATTAAGTTAAATTTCCTGGGGAGGATGGAAGTGGTGAGGAGCCTAGTTAAGAGATCTTCCCATATGACAAGCACAAGGGAGCCACGGTTCTGGTTTGGTGGCAGCTTCTTTTGTTTTTATAAAACATATTTTAAAATTTTTATGTTCTCCCCAAGTAGGGACCCAGGTCTCCAAAAGCTGCCCGTTTGCACAAGTTGCCCATTTGTGTAAGCTATTTGTTAATGCCTTTTTTGTGTGTGTGAGGAAGATCAGCCCTCAGCTAACATCCATGCTAATCCTCCTCTTTTTGCTGAGGAAGACCGGCTCTGAGCTAACATCTATTGCCA